GGACTTCTACTCCCAGAATTTCCCAGCCAGCATGCTGGGAGTTGAAGTCCATACAGCTTAAGGTTGACAAGGTTGAGAAACATTGTCTTATTGGATGGACATGATGTATGAGGAAAGCTACAAGCTCTTAAGATTTTTCTAACGAGGACTACCAAAAATTCTTGCTTAAGCAGTCCATGAACAGTGTGCCAGCCAGAAATACAAACTCGATATTATAAATCTCCTTTCATGGACCAGCAAGTAATTGCAATTTTCCAGTTCACAGAAGAGTAGGTTCAGTATTACAGAAGCAAGTAAATTGACTAGTCACATGAGCAGTTAATTGGCTGTTGCTGAAGATGCAGTTTTGTACAAAATCCAGTATCTGACATTGGCTTTAGATTCTTGAGAACATCTGTTTTCATTTATTTGAAAAAAATCAAGTTGCTAAAGCTCATATTATTGGCATGCATGTTTAGAAGGATCAAGGGGAGCTGGGTTTTAAATGGCTGCTTTTTAAAACTCTTTTTCCAGCTTAGATTTTTCACACATGCCTCCTCTCCTCTCTCCTCTCCTCTCCTCTTCCCTACCATTTTTTTTCTCCTCCTAACAGTATTTTGAGATCCCCTTCCCCAGTCCTGAAAAAGGGGAATTTGTCCTAAAGCTATATTGAGTTTGACCAGTGCTTCTTTATTGTCTTTATGTTAAGTAAGCTGACTTTTAGAGATGTCTGTCTTACATTTATGTTATTTTTAGTGCAGAAAATTGCACTCTTCTGGCATTGAATAGGGGGAGTCTCTGTGACACTGTATCTGGGCTGTTTCTCCCTTTTCCAAGACTTAAACCAATCATATTTTCTATATTGACTGTCTGTGTAAATGTCATCCCCTCTTTTTTTTTTTCACCTACCTGCTTGCCACCCACAGCTACAGCATTGTGAATACAGAGATGCTGCGACAGATGGTTGAGCATGCAATGGCACCCGTTTTGGAGGAGCTGAAGCAGCGAGCCCCATCAGCAGGGATATGCCCCAGCTGCCAGCGTTTGCAGAAGAAGATAATGGTACTGTGAGACACAGAGTACACACACCCCAGGCTCTCCTGCCCCACATAAAAAGATCCCAGGGTGCAGCCTTTCTGGAGCATTCTTCTGCTCTGAGTCAATGCAGGCCAGGTCGAGATGGCCCTGCACTGAGATCGATGCAGAGCCACCTGGGCTATGGATGTACAATCTGCACAGCTGCCTTACACTGAATCTTGTCCGCTGAATTCTAATCGGACCTCAGCTTACCAAAATCTCTGCCAGAAGTTTTTCTAAACACTACTAAAAATATTTCGAGAGACTGGAGGATGAATCTGGGGTCTTAAGTGGGCCTAGTACATTTGCTTTTTCCTAAGCTTTGCTTCCTCCCTGGCTATGCTTACAGAGGGACTCAATCCACCATCCAAGAGTTGAATGCAGCCCCTGGAAATCTTGGGGGCGCTTTCCTGAGCCCCTCTATTAGTGCTGAATGGTAGATTTAATGTGACAGAAAGTGAAAGTTGTTACATTGACAGGGAACAATAAACAATAGTAATTGTAATGATGAATATAAATTAAATGTTGTTTTGTCCTGGCCCTGTTGACTTTGGGGAGTGCAGCTTCCATATCCTTTGAATAATGCTACACTTCGCTCAGCTATAGTTTTTGCACCAGCTCCTCAATTAGTGGTTTTCCTCTCCGCTTCCATTTTGCTCTTTTTCTCATTTGCACCCATTTTCCTATAAATTATTGTGCCTGTATTTTATAGGAAGGATAATAGCACTAGGGTTGGGGTAGGATAGTAAAATAATGTGAAAAAATATTAGCTAAACATCAGGCTTTGGTCCTGGAGCAACAAATCTCAAGGCGTTGAAGGAAGAAACCTTCCAAAAATACTGAATTCTTGGTGATGTAACATATTCCCTGTGTAAAATTCAGGTTTTTGGATGTGGGATCTCGGAAGCAAAGCGTTTGCTTTCATTAATAAGCAAATTAGCATATGTCCTTCTCCAGTTTTCACTCTTCTTGTGAAACTCACTTTCTGAAAAGGTTAAAGTGTCAGTTTTATTCCATTTTATTTATCAACACATCTTTTGTACATATGGACATCCATCCCTTTTTCATTGTTGTTTATTCCCAGGACATAGTA